TTTTAATTGAGCTGTCTACTTTTATTAAAATCTGTGAGTTCATACCAATACCTCCACTTCTAATCCAACACCCTATAGTTCATTCTTTTCTAAGCTTTGGTTCTAAAATGGTTTTTTTTTTGTGGTTAATCTTCCATGGAAACACTCAGCGAGGTTAATAAAGAAGGGCCTATTTAGAGGTGCTGGGCGGTAGGTTCACTAGTCCACTCATTCCAGCGAATCACGCCACCATTCCTTCAGAAGCATTTGCAGGCTCTCCCTTTATCACCGGGTCCTCATTTCAGGCACTACAGACACCACCTCCAACAACACTGCGACCGTGATCTCCACAGCGCCTCCGGCCTCCTCAGCAGTCACTTCCCCGTCTCTGAGTCCCTCCCCTTCTGCCTCGGCCTCGACCTCCGAGGCGTCGAGTGCCAGTGAGACCAGCACAACACAGACCACCTCCACTCCTCTGCCCTCTCCTCTCGGGACCAGCCAGGTGATGGTGACAGCATCAGGGTTGCAAACAGCAGCAGCTGCCGCCCTCCAGGGAGCTGCCCAGTTGCCAGCAAATGCCAGTCTTGCTGCCATGGCCGCCGCCGCAGGACTCAACCCAGGCCTAATGGCGCCCTCACAGTTTGCCGCTGGGTAAGGGGCCTTCTCATCTTATTCGCCCTGAGAGAACAGTAGGAGGGCATCCCTGGGATTACCTGTAGGGGAGACTTTTCATCACCATCTTAAATGTGAAAAACAAAGTATTGGGTTGTCGGAAAAGTCATGATGTAGTTCTTGTTTTTCATTGCAAAAATGCGTCATGACTTTTCCGACAGCCCAATAGAACCCTTTCAAGCCTTTATCTCTTCGAAATGAGTTGCTTTCTGGCAGCTCAGGACCTTGGTTATACTAGACGTAAGTGTCTTAACCCCCTGGCAGTGCAGTAAGTCATACCTTTATTTCCAGGTGAAGACACCGAGCACTGCCATGCCTGAGGGATGGGCCGGGAGAAAGCCCAGGTCCCGGGCCCTGTTACGCTTCCCCTGTTCAGCTCTCTCAGCTGACTGCTTTCTCATCCTCAGACTTAAATGAGATTCTAGTAATAAGAGTCCCAGGTTTGGATTATCAAACATGTAAGAATCACTTTGTAAATATATTCCTGTCTCTGGCATTGTTCTCTTTTTTTGGAAAAAAGAGAATGAAATAATGCAAGGAAAAGTCAGAAATGCCAGCGCACATTGAGCGTCTGTGCAGGTCACAGCCTGGCTCTGCGCAGGGAACTTCAGGGAGAGCAGTAACTCAGAGGCACCAGGCAAAGCACGTCAGAGAAGAAGAAGGAGAGAGATTGCCATATAGTCCCCAGCTGTGTTGTCCTTTTCCTTATCCCTTGCATATTTTGTCAAACCGACAGACGTGTCCACATGGTAATAAGGTGACGCTCTTTTGCAGAGGTGCCTTACTCAGCCTCAATCCAGGGACCCTGGGCGGTGCTCTCAGCCCGGCTCTGATGAGCAACAGTACACTGGCGACCATTCAAGGTCAGTAGGAATTTTTTCCTGCCTTACCTCTTTTTTGTCTTTTAATGGAGGAAACCTGCTTTGCCAGAGGTGAGGGTGATGGGGGTGGGAGAGTTGAATTGATAATGCTAACTTGAGGACCAAGAAAATGTCCGTGTGAAAAAGCTTTGTAGAACAGTGTAGGTGTGAGTCTGCGAGTTAGGACAGGAAGGATACGTGGGTGGTGTATTGTAAGAAACCAGGCCCACCTTCTCCTGTGAACAGACTTGGGGCAGGATTCCCCCCACCCCCTTCACCCCCACCCCACTGAGCTTGTCCCAGTAGTCACCCAAGACCCACTGCTAGGTACACTCGACCAGGTGAAGTTCCCCAGTCACAGTCCACCCGAGGAGCCACATGAGAAGGTCCTGTAATGAAGTACATTAGAGCACGTCGCGCAGACTTCCAGGGCACTTCTAATCCCGTTAGGTCTGCCCTTGGTGTATCCCCGTCTTTGCAGAGCTCATATTCCCTTGGGCTCTAATCCTTTTCCAAGCCCGGATGCGCCCCTTCTGGCCTCGGCGTGCACCCTGTCTCCAGTGAGCCTGAATCCAGGCTGTGCCTTGCCGGACTCTGTCGGAGGTGCCATGATGTGCCTGGAAGCGGTCTGGGTGGCACCCTGTGTCAATCAGAGAATGTTTTTTCTTAAAATAGTCTGTTCTTAAGTGACAGTTCTTGGGGCCAAAAACAAGCTGCTAGCCAAGTTCGGATTAATGTTTCATGGATGATATTTCTACAGCAGGTTACAGAGAATATTAGTTCCTGACAAATCAGGACGACCTCGATCACCTTCCATCACGTTGAATTTTGCATTGACCGAATCACACATGTGAAAGTGATGGTTAAATCTGTAAAGCTCTTGTTATCCAAGGATTTCTTTTTGGAGTAAGATTTGTGACAAATCTCTTTTCTCCTGCAGTAGGATGTGTCCTGGGCTGTAGCGAGGCTGCAAAGGCAAAATGCTTCCCCCAGGGCACACCTGAGTGTCTCGCAGGAGGTCTGGGCAGGTCTAGAGCGGCCGTGACCCTCAGCCCGGAGGCTCAGAATCGTAGGGAGCACCAGGCCTCACTGCTGTGGACTCTACAGTCGGGTCCAAAGTCAGGGCCATTCCCTCTAGGTCCTCTGGCTTGCTTCATATGTTACGTAAGCAATCAGCCAGCTTTTTAAAGCCAGTAGAGAAACCCTCAAATCTACGAGTAGGAGTGTGGTTATATGTGTGGGGAGATGGTGGGAGTTGTCAGATAACAGGAAAATGTAACAATTGAGAGTACCTGATTATTTTAAAGAAAATTTGGTAATGCCTTCCGAGGAAAAGCAACAGTGTCTTAGAAAAACCCTCACACGTTAAAGCAGGTCCTACCTGCGGTGCCCCCCCCCACGGCCTGTCCCTTACCACACCTGTTCTCCTGCCATAGACTCGCCATGCCCCGCTGTACACGCCCTGGTCATCAAGTGTTTTGCCTCAGGAAGTGAAAAATTAATCATACCTTATACTTTATTTGGTAACATAATTTATTTTAGAATTAAAGCCTTTGAAAGGCAAGGCTTTTCATCCCATGTATCATACTATAAAGTGCTCAAATTTTTAATAATGCCGATTGGTTTGACAAAAGCTAACTACATCGTAATGCTTTAATCATTGTAGCTAGTTTGTCTTTTGAATGGAATTTAAAATCAGCAATCTTCATTGAAAATAAAATTACTGAATTTAATACTTCTAAGTAAATGAAATAAAATTGAGATTCCAGATAGCAGTGTGGCAGATCCATTAGACAGTTCTTAACTCCCCTCCCTGTCCTGCTCATGCTCATGAGTTAGATTTCTCAGTCCTTTAGGCTCTTTCAAAATTATGAGTCAACTTGAGTTGGTGACAATATACATAGTACTGTGATTAAGGAAAAAAAATGAACTAAGGGCTGCACTTTCTACAGCTGGGCTGTAAGAAAACAGTACATTAGATGTGTTTCGGGGCCTCTCCGGGATGATACTAACGCTCTCCTTCCTGCCTGTTTTGGGGGGTTTTGTCTGCAGCTCTGGCTTCTGGTGGCTCTCTTCCAATAACGTCCCTGGATGCAACTGGGAACCTGGTATTTGCCAATGCGGGAGGAGCCCCCAACATCGTGACTGCCCCTCTGTTCCTGAACCCACAGAACCTCTCTCTGCTCACCAGCAACCCGGTCAGCTTGGTCTCTGCCGCCGCGGGGAGCTCTGGGCCGGTGGCCAGCCTTCACGCCAGCTCCACGTCCGCCGAGTCCATGCAGAACTCTCTGTTCACGGTGGCTTCGGCCAGCGGGGCGGCCTCCACCACCACCACCGCCTCCAAGGCCCAGTGAGCGGGGCTGGGCGGGCTGCCGGCCGGGCCGAGACTGAAGACACCATTGGCTTCCTCTTGCCATGGTGCAAGGGAGACAAGGAGAGAAGACACAACACATGCCGAGAGGAAGGATGGAGACGGGACAACGTTTGCCTAATTTTGTAATAAAACACTGTCTTTTCAGGATGCTTCATGGACTGGAGAACTTTCTAACCAAAAATTAAAAAAAAAAAAAAAGCAGAAACAAAAAATGAAAAACAAAAAAATAAGTGAAAGGACTACTTCTCATTTCCAGCAGTCACGATGACAAGTCAAGGTGGGTTACCAATTCTGATAGAGGAAGGGGATTTCTCGTTTGTCTTGATTTCTTTTATTCTTAAAAAAAATCATTTTTATGGGTCTGTTGTACAGGCCATTAAGTCCTAAGAAGGTGTTTATAATCGTATCAATTGTGTTGGGGGTTCCTTTCTTAACTGGTACAATGTAGGCAGGCCCGTGTTACTGTATCTCTGTCACTGTCGTCGTTGTTATTGTTTTATAGAGAGTTTGGACATGTTTATCTCTTGCTCCTGGATCCTAGTTCAGTGAGCCCCCACGCTGGGGGGGAGGGGGATTTGGGGTCACGGGGAACTCACCTTCTTCACTGCGGGGATGTTCTTGCTGGTTTCCTCACCCTTGATGACCCTCACAGAGGTGCTAGAAAATTAGCTTCTTTTGCCCCTTATGCAAGAGGCTCGCTGCAGACGCCGAAGGCAGTGTGTGCGGACAGCCCCACTCCACCACGCCCGTCAGGCGGTGCCTTCGGAGCGCTTCTGTGTAGGAAGGAGTCCCTGCTGAACTAGCTCTCACCCCACCCCCAACTGGCCTGCGCCCAGCCTGCGCCTGGGCCGGGCTTGGCTCCGAAGAGCAAAGACTACTGCAGACGCCTGACTGGTGGCTCTCCTGACTTCTTACCCTGAGAAATGCTCCTACTGTTGGTGTGTGTGTGTGTCTGTTCCATTGGGTGGAAGTTTCTCGCCCGGACTTCCTTTCACTTACTTGGCAAAGAACAAATCAACTCGTTGAAGCTGGGAACGTTTCCCTCCTTCGCTTTCTAAAGGAACTCTACTAGACTGTTCCATTGGTTCCTGATCACCCAAAGCAGTGCGATGAGAAGAGTCTGAGGTCCCTACCTGTCCCTCTGGCCACAGACTCCCTTTTCGCCAGGCGGCTTATGCACCCCTCTCACCCTGAGGCCCCTGGTCCTCTGACCGGAGAAGCCACGCCCTAGCCGGCCATGGACGTGAGAGCCTTTGAAGGCCTTTGAGCAGGAACTTTGCACACGCCTCAAGTGTCCCCTTGGTCTGTCAGTGATGCTAGGTAGGCCGAATGGCAGTAACATCTCTAGTCAGTGTGGAAAGGGATGAGCTTCTGTGATTGTTTTCAGGGTGTTTCTAGACTCTAAATGAGCCCAAGAAAAGGAAAAGTTGATGAAAGTAGATGAAGAAGAATGAGGGTAACTTGGAAATTAGATTCCGCTTTTTGCCAATGTACTATTATTATAGCATCTGTACCAAAAAATGTCCCCAAAGACTGGATCGCCGCAGTGCAGCTCATCTGAGCCCCCTCCCGTGTGGAGTCGAAGGCTCCTGTCCCGTGTCTGTGGGCGCTTGCTCACCTCTCCCCCCGGGGTCCCGTGGCTGCACCTGCCCTCTGAGCGGTGGGGGGGCTGCGAGAGCACCTAAGTTCCTGCTCTTCTCGCTGCTCTGCCGTCTGCAGAGGCTCGGGTTTCTGTGCACGTGTCTTCACAGCGGGGAGGCGGTGACAGACACAGTGCCCGTCTTTGTGTGCGGTCGTCCACGGGAGACAGGCACGTTAATGTTACAAGGCCAGAAGCAGTTCGGACCCCGTGTGGATTTTTCTGTTGTCTCTTCTGCCTTCCCCTTCTATTTGACAGAGTATTTAATTACCACCCTCAGTGTCCTCTTCTCACTCTTCGCCTTCCCCCAAATCCTCCAAAATCAGTGAACTGCAAGCAGGGAGACTAACAAATGTCCATCCACCTTTTTTATGTGTGGTGTGTTTTTTTATGTTGTTTTTTTTTTAACTAAGCTTGAACCAAAGTCAATTTTTAGCAAGCTGCTGTACTAATGGACTAGTTTATAACGTGCGGTTCAGACACATTGAGGAGTTAGATGCTACTGACAATTTCTTTTTTCATTGTCTTTATTAATTTTATATAAAAGTTGCTGCTTGTTTTAATCTTTTATGTTGGTAAATTGTACTATCGTCTGGGCAGACCTTAACTTGATTTTTAAGTTTATTTAGTATGGTTGTAAATAGAATGGCAGTGTCAGTTACTAACTTTTCTCATCCCGCTGTTTGCCTGATATAGTTAAATTGAATCTTTTATCCTGACTTGACATCTCCAACTTTAGTCTGTGCGAATGGTTTTAGGACTGTCAATCATACTGCAGCTGCCCAGGGTTATGAGTCCCTCCCTTGGGAGTGGTGAGTTCGGAGGCAGGATTCAGGGAGGGAAATACTGGCTTAGAGGTGATGGCATGAATTTCCCAAAATTGCTACCAAAGGAAGTGGAGAGTCCCAAGGACTCCAGCCCAATGGATTAAGAGGAAGGGCAAGGAAAGGCTGAGTTTGTTTGTTTTCCTTTGTGGTTCAAAAGTTGCTCCTTCTCCCAAGTAAGATTCAGCAACAGACGTTAGTGTTTAAAACAATACTAACTTAAATAACAGCTCTGTTCCCGGCCTGTCGCTCATCGATTTGGGAAAGGGAATTCTGCGGGGGAATCGCTTGATGAGGATAAAACTTAAACTAGCAAAAAAAAAAAAAAAAAGACCCTGTCTTTAAAAGAAATAAATCCTTAGACAAAGGGAACTTAAATTTTTTTCTTTTTTTCCTCTTCCTTAAACACAAGGTGTGAAATGGAAGGTACATCCATACCAGGACACATGAGACGCTAAAGCAGCTTGTTGATGGTGTGTGGCCGAAACTCGGCTCCCACTCGCCGTCCCTAGACGTCCTGCTGATCGTGTGGCCTCATGACTCAGCTTTTAGTCCTTCGTTACTTTCTGTCATCTTTTTTATCATCTCAAGAAATGCTTTCTGAATTGAATGAACCTCCTAAGCTAGGTACTCTTAGCTTTTAGATACCACATATGGGAGTCTGGAAGTTTAGGGGGTGCTGTTTGACCAAAAAGAGACGTTTGGTAGACTTTCTGCATTTCTAAGAGGAAGGCCAGATAGGTCATCACATTTCATTGTAGCGTTCTTTTTTTCCCCCTTAGCGTTTATGCAAGTTTTATTTCATCCCTGAATTTGGTTAACACGTTAAACCAAAGACTGATCCAAAATGCATTTGTAGCGATACATATTTGCCCATGGTAATGGGCCTCCCAGGGAGGGCGAATGTAATGTTTGAACCCTGCTTATCACGAGCGGTGTGGCTTGGCCATGAACCGACTTGTGCCCTGCGTAAATCTGAAGGACAGAGCAGGAAGGGCTTCTCACAGGAACCGTAATTGTCCCTGATGTAAGAAATAAGTTGAGTGCTGTGTTAGCTTAAATGTTTCTGAAGTTATATAGGCAGCTCTTTAGAATTATATAGATTGTTCATGCCCATTACACACTCCCTTTTATTTATTTGATAAGAAAGGTCAGTACCATCCCAATTTACTCAGCTTATTGTTAGAGAAATGGAACCAAAGGAACCCAGATGTCATTTATGTAAGACCATACCTATTTGTACTTCATGATAGCATTATTAGAAATTCACAATTTTTTAAAAGGGAAAATAAGACTAATTAAAAGATTTTTAGTGAGATTTTCTTGCCAGTTTGTTCTACATAATTCATTGTCATGGGAGAAAAAAGCACAATTATACCTCCTTTTTTTATGTTATTTTGTCCTCTTATCCCTCATTTATTTGGGAAGGAAGGTAGGGAAAACCTTGCCTATATTATCCAGAAGCACAGATATTTGCTTGATACAATATTTAAATTCAGCCCAATCTTTAACATTAAGTTTTCTATTTAAATTGCTGGGAAAGCTGGGTGCAGTTGCAAATATGGAAATTAATGTAGATTTTTTTTTAAAGGTATAAATCCTGATAGTCAACATTGCAATCTGTGTGTAATGAACACATGTCTTACAGAAGAAATTCTTTGTACTTCACAATCTAACGTTGTCATCCCAAAGCATGCCATCCTCACAAAACTTGCTTTACCAAGAAAAAAGTAAAATCGGTGAGATAGGAAGAAAAGGGAGAAGTGTTGACAGGGAGGTCAGCAGGTCCTGAGCATCTGGTGGGTGGTGACGGGAAAGCCAGCTTGCGGCGTGCCCCCACGGTGTGGGCCTGAGGGCTGCCGCGGCCCTGGGGCCCAGAGGTCTGTCTGCACCTCCGGAGCCCACAGTCCCCTGAGAGCCTGAGCACCGGAGCGATTCCTTGTGGGACTTCGGTCACATACTTTCTCATTGAGGCAGCATCTGAAGTTTTAGTCTTCAAACCATGTTTATTAGAGCCGAAAACTTGAAGACCAAAGACCTGAAATTTAAAATTTTTCAAGTGGGCGTGAATCGGTAGGTCAATTTGATCATAACCATGAGGAGTTCCTTTTTGTCCATGTGTGAAAAGCGTTCAGTGTAACGTTGTTTGTGGGATGTCCTGACCATTGTGAGGCCATTTCCAGTCTGAAAACATTTTGAGGACGACACTTAATAAAATGGTTAATCTTTCTTAGCATTTCCCTTCACTTTTGAGAAGGGAAAACATCCTTTGCCATTCCTTCAAGAGGCCTAACTGAGATCAGCCATTATTACAGGTTTGCGTGGATGGGACACACAGTGTGACGGGGGTGGAATGAGCAGGCAACGTGCTGTCATCGTCAAAGGCTGACACGGCTGTTCCGCCTCCTTTTCTTCATCCAAAGAGAACATGGGAGACCCCAGCGAGGCGTTGGAAAGGGCGGGATGACTTTTCTCAGAGCTGCCCTCGTCACAGCCACATTTCCACGTGGGTGTGACTTGCTTTCTTCCTGCCGTCCTCATGAAGCACTTCCTTGTCTGCTAAAAGCAGCGCCCTTGGGCGAACCTTGCCTTGAGTCTAATCTGGACCTCCTCTCCTCCCTCCTTTTCTCTCTGAATGGTGAGACCTTAACCCGTGAGGATAAATAACGCTGGTGGGTAACAGCTGGCTCCTGGCACCTTCATCAAATACCTCAGCATAGTTTAGCATTGTTGCAGAGCTGGTTTTAAACTACAAACCAAATAAATAATGAAAGGGGAAAACTTTATAAATAGTGGAAATAATACTAGCTATAGCACTTAGTTGAACTGATGTTTATTATGACTGATGAACGTGACTGATGCTGTATGTGTTTGGGATCCTGTTTATAGGTTACAATTTATAGGGTTAGGGAGGGTTGGGGTGAGGGAGGGGATTATGTTAGAAGGACATCGTTGCTCGTGGGGGTTGGTTTTTCCTTATATCTGTCTTGCCAAAGGAAACTTGATGGTCCCTGTGACTGGGTTTGGGTCTGTTGGCCTCTCTGTGGTCTGACCTACAGCACACTGTGGTGACGTGCAGGCGACAGACACACAAGTGGTCCAGACCCACCAGGCCACCCTAACGATTGTTACCTCTTACGTAAGAGCTTCTGCTTAGGCAAAGAATGAATGTGCGAGTGTCTGGGTGCCGGGTTGAGAAACAGAGGCAGAGCTAGACATGCAGCGTTTGATTTGGAGAGAAAAGGAGAGCTGAGCGACTGATGCGTCTTAGTCTAGGAAAACTAAAGCAAAACAGGCTCTTCCTGCTGCCCGCTGTCATGTTGGGTGATGTGCTAGTAACACAGCATTGGAAACCCTGACCTCCTTTTCTCGTACAAGGCTAACTGTTTAGATAAAAAAAAATGCAACAGCAGAAAAACCAAACCAAGAAGTTGAGAGCTGACCTGCTCGCCTCACTCACACCTGTGGTGAGGTGTGACCTGAGGGAACTGGTCGGCTGCTGAGACGAAGGGGGGTAGGGCGACTGGGAAATGACGCAGTTCAGGGGACGCTCATGTCCCCTCCGTGCCCGTGCCTGGGCAGACCCTCGTGGCTACCGAGTTCGGGAATCGGCCGCATCTCCAAAAGGCTGTTTTGTAATAAACGATCCGTCTCACAGAACTGAAGTGGGGTTTGGTTTGGATACCAAAGACACTGCCATGTCACTGTTTGTCCTTCTGCTTTCTGAACAGGAGCAAAAGCTGAAATTGGGGAAAGCTTTACCTTTGTCCCTTTTCTCTTTCTCCCACCTTCCCCCACCTTCCCCACTTTCTGAAGGAAGGCTTGCTGGTCACCCTGGCTTTGGAAGAACGACTCATTTAGTCTCACTCTGCTGGCTGTGTAAAGACAGTGACACGGTGTAGCCATGATCTCGGAATTGCTGGGAAATTGTGGGGAGGGCAAAAGAGGGCAGTGGGATTCTTTTCTTATCTCCCTTTCTGATCAGTACAGCTTGTTTGAGTCCAGAAGATATTTAGATGTGCTATCTGTTCTGTCACTTGTAAAGGATAAGCATTTTCAAGAGCAGGGTTACATGGAAAACCAAGACACCTTCCTTTCCGCTGCCATGGAGCTGTCTTGTTCCAGGATGTTCTTGCACGTGGGCTCCAGGGAGCTGAGTAGTTCGTTCTTGTGATGTACTGTTGATGCGACTCAGAAAGGAAGGGCAGGAAAAGGAATATATTGCTCTCTTAATGCTCCATCAAGAAAACAGGGTGCAGAGCTTGGTGAAAGCTTTCCTAATAGTCTTGTTCTGCCATGCTGAATATGTGGTGTTAATATTGTGTGACTTCTCTAAACGCTAGACGGTCTGTAAGCAGGTAACAGGGACACTGAAGGTGGAAGCACTTGAAACAAAAGTTACAGGAAAACAGGTGTGTCCAAGGGACGCCGCTTTGAGCATGGAAGTGAGACTCCCTGGCTTGGGGAAGCAAGCTGCCCGTGACGATTCTGTGTCCCTGAGTGGCTCTGCCACCCAGCGCCACCTTCCAGGTCAAACCCAAGACCCTGTCAGAGAGCTCAGGACCCAAAGCTAATTTCCTGCAAACATCGGGGTCTGCTGCCAAGTCCCCCCATGTTTTCTCTGTTACTTCCTCATCATTGTGCCGAAGGCTTCTTTCGGACCTTGAGTTGTAACCGCACATCCCCAAGTCTGCAGGCAGACAGCCGGCAGTGCTGAGTAAAACAAGACAGCCAGACCTGGCTTGACGGCCGGGTCTCCCTCGGTGGGAAGAGTGGAGCCAGTAGAGACCCGGCAGTGCGCTCCCACCTAGCCCTCAGCACCTCGCAGCCTGAACCACATGGCAGAAAATGCAATGCACTTTCAGAAGCCAAAATGACAGTTCTGTTAGGAAGGGCTGGAGTTTCGGTGGGCGGGGGCGCCCTGTCTTTGGTTCTGCAGAAGGCACACGTTTCCTAATCGTGGGGTGCCCAGTGCCAGCCTGGCGGTTTGTGAAACTGCAAAGCTGGGAGGGGTCAAGCAGGAGGGAGCGAAGACTTCGCAGCCACTTGGCGAGAGTGGCTTTCTGCCATCGAAACGGCATGTCCCCTGAGCTCAGGTGAAGGGGAGAGACAGCCAGCTCTCCAGCTTCTTACTCTGCTCTAGCGCGCCAGTGCAGAGCGGTCCCACTGTCCAAGGAGGCGCCCCCTGCACACTGGCCGGAGTCCGACTCCTTCATCTGTGCTAGTAGCAACGGCTAGGTGATAAGTGTGGGGTCCCCCACGCACATCCAGCAGCTGTCGTATACCTCATTCGAACTCGTGACTGAGTAACTTGCTTTAACTCTCAGCCCTACAGAGTGGCCAAGCCCGCCCCCCCTCCCCCACGTTGCGCTCTGGCCTATAGCATCACAGGACCTGTAACCTGGGGTGGCACCTCCCAAAGCCTCTGAATGTCGCTGCTTGAAAGCTACTGCAAACCGAGGGCAAATTGCAATTGTCTGTCTTTCGTCCCAAGGGGTCTTCGCAGGTCTCCTAGCGTCTGCTCCCCACCCACCTGTGGGGCTGGCCCGCTGCCCACACCCCCACCCGTCCACCGCCGTCCTGACTGCTGGCCACACAGCAGCTCCTGTCCCTGGTGGGTCCTGTGACCTTCAGGACTGGGGGTGGAAGGGAAGACACCCAAGAGGCTCCTTGACGCTGACTGCTGCACACCATTTCACTTTTTTTCCTTTGACGTGACCAAAAATATCCAAATATTTAAGTTTTTATTGTTATTAATATTATTATTATTTGACAATCTTGTATCCAGTGGGCTCTCTAGAAGCTGCACCCCCAGCCCTTTCACCTTTTCTTTGAATGTAGCCCCTTAACCTCCAGTCCCCACTCCAGTGTCGCAAAAGCTTGGCCAGGTCCTCACTCATACTGCTGCTCTTTGCCAGGGAGGGCGGTTTCTTTGTTTTGTTTTGTTTTGTTTTTTAAATTTCCAGCCAAAACCAAAGATTTCTTAATGATTGTATAAACTCAAAACAAACAAACCAAAGAAAAGGGAAGTCTTCAGCGTCCCCCAGCCTGTGGCGTCCTGGCATCCAGAGGAGGCCGGACGGGGCGGTGGCCCCGGTGGGTCCGCTCTCTGCAGGTGTGGCCGAGGTGCATGCTCGCGCCAACTCGCGAGCCTGCCGTGGAGCAAACTGGCATTTCAGATTTTCCAAAACAGTAGACAGCACCCCACCACCGCAGCCAGCCCGTCACCGCAGGGGCGGGGCACAGGGGCGAGGAAGGTGGGGGGCTGCCGCTGGCCTGCGGACACCACAGCGGGGAAGCTGAAGGCGCTGGCGCAGGCTTGGCTGCTCTGCTGGGAGCTTCCACCTCTGGGCCGTGGCGGTGGGCGCGCCGCGGGGCCCTCTAGCCTTTTCTCTCTCTTCCTGTACTGGAACTGCTTGGAGGTGGCTGTCCTGTTTGTGAGCAAACGTGCAGAACGAGTGTCACGCTTTCCATGTCCTTCCTGTAGCTGGTCTCCTTCCTGCAGCGCAACGTGCAACTATGCATCGATTTCACAACCTTTTGTGCTAGGTAGATGCCTGTGACTTTTTAACTCGGGGGGTGGGGGGGGGTGCAAATGAAGGAACTTTTTACATGGATCTTTTTAATCTCAGTTGACTGGGGTGGGGGGTTTGGTTCTAGGGTCATACAAGCTCTATCCCAAAGCAAAATTCCAATGTTAATAATATTAGCCTGATGAACATACCAAAGATAATTTCTTTCCTGCAGAACCTTAGACTCGTGTAATAAGTACGATTACCCAGCACTTGCATTAGTCTAACCTCAGTAATTCCAAAGCTTAGATGTATATTTTGGTATATTTCTGGGATATTAAAAAAAAAATGTCGTTTAACTTCTTGTTTGTTTGAGTGTAATGCTCTTAAACTCATAGCATGAAAATAACTGAACTGTCCTATTCTTAGTAGTTTGAAATAATAGTATTTTTGTATGTTTTGGGTGTGTCTCTGTATGTATTAACATAACAGTTTTCACTGCCTAGGTGTTCATAATAAAAAAGAAAATGAAAACGTTCTAAGTGTACATACTATTCAGTAATAAACTTCGGCCAGGTCCGATCGGAGCTCTCATTCGCTGATACTGTTCCCAGCCGGGGTTCTGTTTTGTTTTAAAGACAGTGATTGTGTTTTTCTAAAGGTGTTTTCTTTCTCTGTCTTTAAATATCTTAACTCCCCACCTTTTTCTTCCTTGGTTTTTTGTTTTTTAATTTTTATTTTTAATATCGATTCAGGGGTGTTTTTCCACTGTTGTTGAGGGAGGGACACAGGGGGGACTGGCCCGGGCCTCCCAGAGCTTTGTTTTATGGACTTAACTGTAAAATGTGAGTTTGCGTTCTCTTTTGTGGAAACTTAAGATGTGGTGTAAATGATTCTTTCCAAAATGAAATGGCCCAGCAGCTTTAATGAGGCAGTGACGACTCCTGAGTAGTTTGTGGGGAGCCCTTTTACATCTCCCCTTAGATGTCTTTGCAGCCTGGGCGGCTGTCCTGTAGCCTCGCTGCCCCAGAGCGCCTGGCTAGCCTTTCCCCTTTGATAGGAATATTTTGTAAGAATCGGCCGATAGCTCGGAGTTCGGGACCTTGTTATCTGGACCCCTGGAAAACACAAGCAACTTTATGTTGGGGGGGGGTGGGGGGGACTAGCGGATGCCTCCTGAGGCCTACGGAGGTGGTGGGGAATTGGAGCGGTGCTGTCTCTTTAAAAGTGCCCTTTCTGTGACCCCCCCTGGGGCTGCCTGCAGGGGCTGTAGGTGACAGTGAATCAGAATGAAGTGGTAGATTTTGTGTAGGTGCATTTGTCTGCTGTAATTTTTTATATATATTAAACTTAACTGTAACTGTACAGTTCATTTCTGTTGTAAAACATCATTAAACCATTTTCCAAGTGTTTTCACATTGTTTGGGTTCCTTTGAAGGCGTCGTGTCAGTTATGTGGACACTTCACACATACCGTTCAGCCCACAGGTGCCTCAGGAGCCCCAGAATCGCTGGGCACAGGGCTCCTTGCCCCACCACCACCACCACTTGCTTTCACCCACGCGTCCTGTGTGTGTCTGGACTCTGCTATGCTCTTGTAGACGGTGCGGCTGAAAACCAGTGACAGAATTTTTAAGTCCCTAACTGGGATGATACATGCTACTGCTCCATCCTCCCTGGCAGATGGCCAAGTGCTGGGCACAGGCTAGGTGAGTGCTGGGTGCAAGTTTGTTGCATGGAGTTGAAGTCCTCTGTGAGGCCGGGTTACAGATGGAACCCCTCCCCGTGTCGCCGTGAGCTGTGGCGGGCCTGGCAGCGGTGCGTGTCATGCCTGTTGGAATCCCAGACACACAGGGCTTTTAACAGCCGTGGCTCAGACGTCTTTTCTGGATAACGAAACCACTGATTTCAAAGCCTTTACCCAACGTTCGTTGGAGGATTGATGAGTTAGGGCTTCTTTACAGCCACTGCAGTTAGAGCAAATGCTGCTGAGGACACGGCCAGCTTTGGCGAGCGAAGAAGACCTCAAGACCTCTGTCACCTCCCATGCTCCCCAGACGTCCTGTCCTGAGGCTCGTGCTGAGCCACAGTGGCTGCTTGTTCCCTTGGATACCCTCTGCCTGATACACGAAGGCGCTGTGGCCCGTCTCCCGCTCACCTTCCTCACCCCACAAGCCAGGCGCGATGCCGTGAGCCCTGCGCGCCAGGCCCCTTCCCCTCCCATGTGAGGCCCGGCTCGGCCGCCCCACGCCCTGTACCACGACTAGCACTGTACCCACCGGCCCGGACACCACCCCTACGGCAGCACCCTGGGCCACTGGATGCCCCTGTGCTCTCCCGGGCGCCAAGGAACCACCCTGTCCTGAGAAGGGGCAGTGTCACTGCCACTGAGAGGCAGCAAGCTTTTCTCCTGAGGACTAAAGGACCATCACAGGCTTATAGCCGAAATAAAGCTCAGAGCAACGCGGCATTTTCACCAAAGCGTTTATTATGCAAAGAGTAAGGCCTTAGCAAACCAGCATAAATTAAAACCAAGCAGAGCAGAGCAGAGCAGCCAGGCCCCGAGCCCTCCGATTACACAGCAGCGTTCCCATCCGTCGGCTGGGCCTTTCCGTCCTGCCGTTGTCCTGGGGTCTAACTTCCAGGTGTTCACGATGATGGCTTTGTCTTGCTCTCAGGCCTTGCTGCCTGTCACTCCCTTCATGAGGATGTGAGCCCCGTGAGGGCGGGAGCTGGCGTGTTCGTCTTTCGGGCCCCGGCGTGCCTGGCGCACAAACTCTTTCCTGTGGGAGGGCTGCTGAGACAGGAGGGCTGGTCCTGCCCCGGGGCTCTGGCGGGGCTCCACCCCCGCTCGCACGCCCTACCCCTGCCTGCTGCACACCTGTGGGGCTCGGCCCATCTTGCCTCTGCCCAGACCTTCCAGAGGATTACAAGCTCCAGAGAAATGAGGGGCCAGTGAATGGCAGAAGCCAAATTTACAGCAGAAGCCAAGCCATTCAAATAACGGTAGAACAGTACAGACGATCAGGTGGGTGCTGACGTTGGGGGACTTGACAAAACACAGACTTAACAGTGGGCTGTGAGGGGTGTGCCCGCCTCCCAGGTAAGAGCCACCGTCCCCAGCAAACGAGACCGAGGACAAGCCGCACTCACAACGGGCCCCTTGAGGACTGGGCAATACCCCTAGGGACACACTCCCTCACAGCGCCCAGGCCGGACATTTCCTGTCTGACAGTTTGGGACTGGATAGGACCAAATGGTACAACTTGAAGCATCCTACTCCTAAAGAGGAATACTTTGCTGGTGCACAAATACGGGCGAACTGGGTTGGAAATGCTTTTTCCTGGGTCTGTGACAATCGGGGCGTCTGCAGGTCTGGCCCGTGTGGGGTGGAACCCCCGCGGTACTGTGCTAGCGAGGGGGCAACGCCTGCATGTGGAGGGCATCGTAGGTGTCCTTGGTGGCCGGGCTAAGCCCCTGGTGAAAAATCAGAGAAGACGAGCAGGTCAGGAGCCCCGTGTGGGCCTGAGCTCCCCAGAGGTCAACAGGTGACCGCAGCACGGCCTGGGACCATCCACCGCCTCCAGAGACCCAGGAACTACCATCCCCTCGTGCCTCAGGCAAGATGGTTTGTCCCTGCCGAGCGTGGCCTTGCTGCAATTCCTTTCCAACTGAACTCTCCCTGCTTCCAAGTGCTGGGCACTGCAGAGCTTAGGCCTAGCCAACTTCCCTTCCGCCAGACGACTTGTCACAGGGAGGGTGGCTCCTCCCAGGCCACGCGACTACAGCTCTGGTCTTGGTCAGGGAACAGGCAGGCGGGTCCCAGTCTCCCCGGAACGCCTCCCTCCCAGGTCCAGGAGGCAGATGAGCAGCCACATTCTGGGGCCCTTGTGACATCGCTCTGAACTCAGGGAAGCCAGGCAGCCCACCCCACTGGTGTGAGTGGAGCAAGCGAGCTGGGAGGAGCCCAGGGTGGCCAGAGAGCGAAGGGACACCCGCGGGGCCCCACGTTAGGGTTGGCTGTGCCTGTTTGCATCATTATTCCCACTGATTCGCATAAACCAGGCACCTGACTACAGCGTTTTCAAAGTTCTTATTTTTCTTGATTTTTTTTTTCCTTCGATCTTCCCGCCCATCCTGCCATCTTGCTGGATCTGAGGATACGAGGCAGAGCAAGGCTTCTGCCAGGGCCCAGAGCAGTGGAAGAAGAGGCTGGACGTGGCTGTGTGGCGTCCGCTGCCGACATCTGCCCTTTGGGCCAGACGGCACAGCTGTGGCCAGTGCCTGGGGCTCCCCCGGCCCCTGTGTTGGGACCAAGTCATGTGCTCGGCGGGCTAAAGGAGGAGCCGCCATGGGCCTGAACGGGAGCCCCAGGCTTGACCTGCCCAGCTGTTGGCCGAAGCCGGTGCCGCCAGCATGCCGGAGGGGGAGCCTGACCGCGCCTCTGTGTGGATGGTGCCACCCAGAGCCCTCCGTCACTCTTACCTGGTAAAGACCATCATGCCCCTTGCCTCTCCGGCGCTGGTTCTATGGGGTAGACAAGGAAAGAGTTCAGTCAGGGGGTCCACAGTCGCCATCCTGCTCAAGGGCCCCCACTAGAGGGGCCCCCACTCAGTCGGAGGTGCCTGTCTCCCAGCCAGCACTCCTGCCCCCAGGGGACAAGGGTCCTCAGGCCTCCGTCAGGGCCCAGGTTTGCTCTGCTCTCAAGGATCCTCAGACGTCAGAGTCCTAGGGTCTGGGCCACACGGGAGCTGGCCACGATGCCCGCAGCTGGCATAAACGGGCTTCCTTCCAGCCCTTGAAATTCTTGGCTAGTCACCCAAACCGCTCGCTGGGAGTGGCAGCTCCACAGTGGTCACAAACCTGGCTGTAGAGCCCAGTCACATCCTGGTTTCCTATTTACTAGCTGTGCCACCTTGGGTGAGTCATATAGCCCCCTGTACCCAGCAGGGCACACGTTTCTCATCGGGTTATTGTGGAAATTAAATGAGACTGCCTAACTGGCAAAGCCCTGACCAGGCCGGTGTGGTGGACACACACCCTGCTCAGAAGGGCCAGTGCTCTGATGTCACCATTCGGAAATTCTCAGTCACTTATGAACAAGGGGCTCTGCGGTCCCGAGCACTGAACACATATCACACACCTGATAATTATTGGTAGTAACGGTGACCGATCTGACCAGCTTTTGCAAAGCTTGGGCCATCTTAGAATCTAGACTTGGCTCTTCATCAGCCTTAGTGTCTTATGTGCCCTCAAGTGGGTCGGAGCTGGACTAGCCCTTGCCTCCGCCGGTCACTGCATGGCTTTTGCCGGCGATGCCAGGTTGGATGGGAACGGGACCTATGGCAGGCGGATCTGGAAGCTCATGAGGGTCGCCTTGGGAGCATCCACACCCCAACGCCACCACCCAGTCCTTGGGAGTTAAGAAAGCAATACACACCTCCCCTTTCGTGCCAATCTCGCTATAGGCCTCCGCCATCTTGTCTTTTTGCAGCGCCTGGATAGGAAGAGGGCGGGGGACACTGTTTTCACCAACTGAGGCTCCCCTCCTAGAGGAAGCATCTAGATTCACAAGTTGGTGGGGGCTCCCACAGTCAAGGCTCCAGGCTTTATTCACACAAACACCCCTGCCAGCCACCAGCTCCAGCCCCGCCCTCCTCCTCAGGCCCCTGGACTCCTGTCCCAGCTGCCAGCTCCTTGCCCTGAGCTCTGAGGCACAGGTTAGGATCCGAAAGGTAAGATGCAGCATTCCAGCCCAAGGCCACGGATGCTGGGCAACGCCAGGGCTCACCTGGGGCCCCAGAGCCATGTATTTGAGCAACTTGTCAAGCGACTACAGAGGAAACAGGCAAGGCCCTCTCTGCAGGAGGTCACCCCCACAGGGGTCCTCTAAGCGGCAGACCCACACTGAGGGTCTGCAAACATCAGATCCACGCCAGAATGCTGAGGTGGACCTTCCCACCAGAGTCGACACTCGGGAGAAGACTCCAGCCACTAGGAACAGGGGCCCCATAGAGGCCGACCAGCCTGACATGGGACCCCTGGCCCCGCCCAGGCTGACCGGGGACCTGCAGCAGCTAGCTGCCTCCGGCTGAGGGAGGGGAGGGGACTGATGGGCCTTCCTATAAGCAGCCGCTGCAGGCAGCAAGACCCTGAGCCTTTAAATGCGAGGAAGGCAGGGACCCTGGGGTGTGGAGCAAAGCCCTCACCGGACCGCCCCCAGCGTTCCCCTTCCCGCCAAACCCTGCGGGGCAGTGCGCCCTCCTCTACTCACGTTGTACACGCCGTCATGAGGGTTCTTCCTCCTCTGCTGGGAGAGACAGGAGAGTTAGAGGTGGACAAACACAAGTCCAGGCTGGGCGGTGGCCGCGTTCCCTCTTCCCGCCCTGTGGGCTCCCCCACCAGCCTGCGCCCTCCCTTCACTCCCGCAGCCCTGCCTGGGCACTCTGGGGCCCTCACAGCTCGGTGACGTCCCCTTTACCTCCCCGCAAGGCCTCCTCAGCCCAGCCTTGCTGAGGGCAGGCCTCGGGATGTCTGCTAATGGCCTGTCTGTCCCCTTGCAAATATACACGAGCTGACAAGTGGGATTTGAGGCTGAACATGAAAGGCACTGAGTACCCTTGATGGGAGCCAGGCCAGCCGCTGCTCGGCAGGTCCTTCGACCTGTCTTTCCCCCCCCCACCCCTTCTACTCCAGTCAAGGAGAGGGGAGAAGGGTTGAGGCTGGAGAACTTGGGGTGGGAGACAGGGTACAAGGAAACCAACGGTGTCTCCTATCCGACTCACTCCAGCAACAGCTTGCCCGGCCCGGGGCTCAGAGAGCCTGCAGGGGCCAGATGAACAGCTGTGACCGAAAACATCAAGGGCCATTGGCAGTGTCAGGCAGGACCACCCCAAAACCTGGGCGGCCAGGCCTTTGCGCTGAGCCCCACTCTTCAGAGGCAACTCCTCTGGCCCCATCCTGCTGCTCCCCAGCCCACAGAGGCAGAGTCTACAGTCAAGAGGACAGAGCTGCCTGGGGCCCACCCATGCTCAAAGGGGTCCCTGGGACCCAGAATCCCTTGCCCGGTGGCCTCGTGTGAACCTTTTCACCAGGTTTGTCCTCCCGGGAGCAGATGGTGCCACAGTTAGTGCATTTCAGGGTGGCCATGGAGCAGTGTGAGAGGGGGTAGGGGAGCTTAGACGTGAGGGCCAGGTGCCACACTCAGGCACAGGAGACCCTTGTGACGCAGACCAGAGCCCAGCGGGAAGGAAGAGAAGGGGGTTTGCAGCAAACGGGGCCTCCATCTGTGTCTAATGGCCCAGGCCCCTTACATGTTAGGGTCAAGTAGAGTGGCAGAGTGTGCTGGCCCTGAGGACCGCCCCCCCCGCCACACACACACACACACACACACACACACACACACACACAGAAGAATGTCCTACCTGTTTCCCTCCCATCTCAGGGTCATAGCCGCCCCTCTTATTCAAAACGTCATACTCCTCTCTCCGTCCTAGATTGAGCTCCTAAAACAGACAGGAGAGCGTCAGTGACTGCGAGGCCCTGGGCGGACGGGCCAGCTGGACCGCAAGTCCCCCTTGGGTGGTGGCTCTCAGAGAAAAGAGCTGGGACTGGGGTGAAGGCGGTAAATCCCCCGGATACCAGCATCCCAGAGAACATCTCAGAGGACGTGCGTTACCATGGGGACGGGGCAGTGATCAATTCGACCAAAGTCCATTGCACAGGGAGTCCCCGCCGCCGCCGCCGCAGCAAAGGGCCTCCACTCCGGGCCGAGCGCCCTGGCGGAGGGGCTCCCGGGAGCACTGCGCCTAGTAGGTCCTTTCCAGAAGCAAGTCCTGGAAGCGCGGCAGCCTCACAGCGCCCCCACGAGGCAGGTGCAATTACTGTCCCGGTTTTTCCCCCGGGAGAACCCTGAGCCCGAGAGATGCAGTCACAGGGTTGATGGCGATAGCCCAGACCTGCGACCCAGCCCCGGCCTGCGTGGCCTGCGTCCAGCAGTAGGTGGCCCTTCTCCCCACAGGATCCATGGCAGAGGCCAACTTACGTTGTAGACTTGGTTGGGGCCCTGCTGGTGCGTGGGGGCATCCTCGCTCCGGCTGAACTGTAAGAGGGGACAACAGAGCATGAGTGACCGCGCGGGGCAACCAGGCCGGCAGCCTCGCCCTGCTTGCTGGGGTGGCCCTTGTGAGTGGCGGCGGGACAGCCCCTTTTCTGAGCCACGGTGCAGCCCCGCGCTGACCCCAGGGCAGCTGGTCACTCCCCAGGCAGCGCCCTTGTGGGGAGCACCACGAGGCCGGCGTCGGGTCCACAGGAATATTCTCCAGGCCCTTCCCCCCCGGGGCTCGGAGGACAATGCTAAGATGGACGGCAGGTGCCCAAGATCCCACTCCCATCTTGACCCCTGGGGCAGGGGCTTGCACGCGTCATCGTGTGGCGCTGGCTTAGGGTCCTGAGGCCCTGCCCACGTGCACACGAGTCCGCTCTTCCGTCAGTTCAGGCCATCTCAGCCAGAGAAACTGCCCGGTCTCACAGGTCAGGGCACTGCCTCTCACCCGACAGATCCTCTGGGCGGCGCTGTTCAAACTTTTAAAAAGAAGAGCAGTACAGCTCTGCTTTTCAAATAAAATCTTCTGCCAAAGTCCCAAATCCAAAAGAAGGATGGGCAGGGCCCCTGGGCGGGGCCCCAGGCTCCTTTTAGCACAGCGCGGTGGCCCCCAGCCGCCTCCCCTCCAAGAAATCCAGGCTCTGCAAGGCAGCAGCTGAGACCCTGCTCTGGGCCAGCCCTCCCACTTAGCCTCGGGGAGCGTGGGCCCTGGGACGCCTTGATGTGATGCATCAAAGCTCCTTGCTAAGGAGCCAGGCACCAGGCTCTCCCTCCAGCTCTGTCCCTCTGTCCTCTGGGTCCCCTACCTTCCCAGCCCACCCGTGTGCACACGGGGCTGGTCCCTGCATTGCCCATGGATACCAACCCACAGGCACCACCCACGCTTGGACTTTCCCAGACCAAGGCCCCTCTGAACGTGCGGAGTGGGGGCACACGCACCCTTCCCCTAGAGCCCAGGGGTACCCACCTTCGCTCTCAGGAACAAGGCAGTGACAATGACGCCGTAGATGAAGAGGATCCCATCCAGCAGGTAGCAGAGTTTGGGATCAAGCAGGCCGAAGCTCTGTGCCTCTGTGCCAAGAGATGAGACTGGTCAGCCAGGCCCAGGGGGACAGACAAGTCCCCACCACCCCAGGGTGGCCCCATGACTGGTCAAGGAAGTCATGACAAGGGGTGCTGGGTCCAGTCCCCATACCTCATCTCACCCCAACCTCCCTCCCACCCCCTTAGACCAGTTCCTGGGGAAACCTAGCCCGTCCCAACAGTGCACGTGACAGCTGGTGGGGCCCCAGAGCCTGGGGAGGTGGAGGGAGGCAGAAAGTAGGGCGAGGGGACGCTGTCCACTGCGCACAAGGCAGCTGCCTCAAGGCCGCGGGGGGCCCAGCTGTGTGTGTGCCCACGTGAACCACACACCCTGGAAGCTCCTATAAGATGGACGAATGGCACCCCCTAATTGGGGTGTGTGGCTCCCTGGGGCCTAGCCCCAGGGAGAGAACAGGACTCATCGTCGAATGAGATCATGTCAATCTCTAACTTCATTAGAACCCCCTTCCTGACCCCTGCTGCCTTGGTGCCAGGCCCTGGGCAGGGCCACCTTCCTAGGGCAGCGGGGGCCTGGTGCTGGCTTCCCTCCCCTGGGCCTGAGGGGGTCTCATGAGCAACAGACTTAGGGAGCCTTGACGGTGTCTGCCTCCCTCCCCACCCACAGTCCTAGTTCATGGCCTCAGCCTCATCCTCCCCTCCCTACTTCTCATTCCCAGGCACACTTTTCTCTTTCAGACCGTTGGCCTCTGTGCCTTGGCACACACTGTTGGCCTCTGTGCCTTGGCACACACTGTTGCCTCTGCGTGTCCTCTCCCTGCAACCCCATCATCTGATGAAAACGTGATGCATCCTGTACAAAGCAGCTCTGTTTAGCCTCTCCCACCCTGAATCGCCAAGGGTCCCCCTGTCTCTACAGCCATGTTACCTTTGTCCAGCTGTAGGAACGCGGAATTATCATAGTGGGTGCTGGCGCTGGAGGACTGTGGATTTGGGAAAGCAGGCACAGTAAATATCCTGCTTCAATAAAGTTAGATTGCATCTGAAAGCTCACTGCACAGCGAGTGAGGAGGCACGGATTTCAGCCTCGACTGTCGTTCCTGCTAGGTATGTGTGCGGCAGGCAGCTCACCCTGCAACAGCAGGCGTCGTGCCCCCCGCCACCGTGCGCGTGTTAGCGAGCAGAGGTCCACGGCTGTCCGTCCCGAGGCTGGGGCGCCCTCTGGCGCCCGCTCAGGGAGTGGCTAATGTGCCCTTGAGCACGGCCTTGCCCCTTCTAGCTCTATGACTTGGGGCAAGTTATTTACCCTCTTTCAGCTGCCTCTTCTGTTAAGCAGGGTGAACACGGTAGCATTTCTTCTGTGTGTGCTCTGTGCCAGACCCCGTTTTAGCGCAATAACTTGTCAGCTCCCCCCGCAGCACCCCACGGACACTGAGGTACAGAGAGGTGGACGTGTATCCCGGGGCGCACACACACAGTGAGAGGCTGCCCGGAACGCCCAGCAGAGCGTCTCCCCTCCCTTCTCGGGCCTCCGCTGGGCCCAGCCCTTCTGCAGGCGCCCAGTTCTGGCTTCTGACCCAGCTATGTGAGCAGGCGATTCCGGGCTGCCCGAGTCGCTGCCTCTACCCCCTGAAGCCTCCTGTTTCCAAACCTTTGACTCGCTCCCGCATGCAGGCCCCTCGCTGCTGATGTCTGCACTCCCCAGAGCACCTCCCCAGGAACCACTGACAGCCCAGTCGCTGAGAGCAAAGCCCAGACTCCCTGTCGAGGCCACGCCCTGACTTGGCAGCCCAGGTGCTGCTCTGAGACCCGCCTGCCATGCTTGAGTTCCTCTGCCAGGCCTGCCATGGCCGGCACCACCCTCTCCACTCAACAGCTGCCCAGATGGGACTCATCCAGCCACCTTAGACCCTCGTGGAGAGCCTGCCTCCCCACCCCACCAAGCACTCTACAGACTTAATATGTCGCGTTTGAGAGTCCCCCGCACCCCACCCCCACCACGACCTAGGCTGTCAGCGCTGGAGACCCGTGGCTATCTCCTCTTCATTTCCGCCTTGTCCTCCACCCCCTCCTCAGACAGCACGGCACAGGGCAGACATGCATTAGAGACGGTCGAATTTTCAGGGGACGAACCGGGCCTCAGGCCAAGGTGGGGCTGTGCTCTGTCCCCCCCCCTCCAGGCAGCACCGGAACTCACCCTCTGACCGAAGGGGGGGGGGCTCTGAAGGCCTCGAGGAGAGGAGCCAGTCCCCAGCGAAGGCCACCAAAGCTGGGTGATTTTTCTTTTTAGGAGTGGAGAGAAGGTGTCAGTGGCGATTTATAGGGGTGGTTGAGATTTTTTTTAAAAGGGGGGTTGGGAGAAAATCGCTTGGTTGCCTGTCGCATAAAATGAGAACAGAAAAATTACTGGACAGTAAATTTAGAGCAAATAAAAGGAAATATTTCTTCGTGCTGTGCAGAGCCGGCTCAGTGGGGACAGGGGAGGGGGTGCCTCCCCGGAGATAAGTAATAGGGGCAGGTGCTCTTTCTTTCTTTTTAAAGAGCAGCTTGATTTTATGACCGATGACAAGTGTGCTCTGTGTGGTTTGGCCGAGGGTAGGATAATAACCGAGACACGCTTCCCAGGGTGGCGGGTAGACTCTCCCCTGCCTAGTCCAGCTGTGCCTGTGCTGGGAGAGATGGGCCTGAGGAAGGCAGTGACAGCCAGAAGGTTCCACGCAGGGCCCACGGCCAAGTTCATTTATGTAACTGATTAAATATTTATTGGGCACCTGTCTGATGCTGGGGGATGTTGAATTGGAAAGAGCCCTGGA